ATAAATTCTTAATAGTTTCAGATTTTACTTCTATGTAGCAAACTCAATATTCAGATTTTCATAAGTTACCGGATCATATCATCCCAAAAGAGTTGCAACACCCAGAAACAAACAAATACAGACATGCACAGGCTTGAAAAGAAAGGCACCAAAATGAAAAATTGTCAACAATATCAGTTTTATGGCCAACTGGCAGCGGGATGAAGGTGTGGGGACGAAAGCCAGCCAGATGTGTTTTTCTAGTCTTAAAGACCAGTACTTATACTGCCACACAAAACAAAAACATCATCGTAAATACAAATAAAGGCAATTTGCATACTTACCAACTCATCCACAGAAAGGACAGACTTAACAAAGAAGAAAATGATTCCATAGTCAGAAAAACTGGCAAACTGTGGCAAACTGAATTTTCAGAAAATGCCATAGAAATAAATGCAAAGATCAGTCTCCACTAAACATCTATGAAACATCAGAAGATAGAGAAAATCTAATTGAATAGATAAACCTTGTAGTTTATAAGAAGGGGAATGAGATAAGGGACCATATTCAATCAAAGACAAAATATCAGCCTAGAGTTTTAATGAGTAAAATTTCAAAATAGATAGATTCTTAAGCTTGTCTATTTAAAAAAAACTCTGCCTAACCTAGATGGAAAAATATTATAGTTGTTTGCTAGAGCTACAAATATGTCTATCTTAATTAGAACTAAGGCGCAAACTCTCCTATTATTTAGAGATGTACTTATGTTGAAATTGTACTCATTACAAATCTAGCCTTATCTTTTGAGTTTGCTTTATTCTGTCTTCTAGGATTTCTGTATTTTAATATGCATGAAGGTAAGTGGAACACATTTCATATACGTTGAGAATTTACAATTTGGATTTGTTAGAGAAACAATTTTCAACATAACCATATCCAAACATGGCTTAAGAGTTGAAGGAGTTACAGAGAGTTAAAACTATGTTCAGAAACCATGTCAGAGTCCTGCAAAGCATATAAAATAAAAATAATTCTTCATAGTCTATTTGTTAAAATTCTGTCCATACTTCACTCTGAATCCATGCTAGCTGTGATTAGTAATAAAAAATAACCTCTCTTCTAAGGATGTAAAAGTGTAACCGTGTACAGGTTAACCAATGAGTCTGGGCTAATGGGTTACATATGCAGGCTCCCAGTACTCGTGGGGAGGTGATTTCTGTGCCCAGCACTGCGAAGAGGTTGGTGAGTGGTGGGCGAGGACAGCCAGCGCCCCTGCAAACCTGCTTCCCTGCACGTAACCACTGAAAATTTCAGCAGTTACACATTTACTTAAATAAATGCATTTTAACATCTACACTTTCTTGTTTAGATCACCAGTTAAAATCCACAGGAGACTAACAGTAAAAAAAAAGTGGCTCTGTGGTGCCGTTTGTCAAATAGATTCTCAAAATATGTTTTACAAATCACCAGTGGCATATGCAATCTTTCCCGGTGATGTATTGAATTAAACAATAAGGGCACATCTACACAGCAGGGCTAAAGTCAAATTAAGCTATGCAACTTCAGCTACGTCAATTGCGTAGCTGAAGTCAAAATAGCTTAAATCGGTTTGGCACTGTCTACACAGCAGGAAGTTGAAGGAAGAACACTCTTCCTTTGACTTCCCTTACTTCTCCTGAAATGAGAGTTATGAGTTGGAATAAGACATCTTCCAGCTCAAGATTATTTAAAAATAAAGGTCTGTAGAGTAGACACACATTACATTATTTCGGAATAATCTGAAGAAGGAGCTTAACAGTTTCAGTCTTGTCTCTAGTAGTAACCCACACCACGGAAAGGTGGAATGGAGGAGGAAGAATGGGTATTTACTCTTTTTGGCTTACTTACAATGCTAAAAGAAGTCCGGATTATTTTTTAAAGACATGTTTATTTTTCACGTTAAAAGTTCAGGTTTTTTCTACCCTAGGAACACACTGTTAGCTTTAAGTCCAAGAAACTTATACTTGATTGAAAAGTGATTTTCACATTGACGAGTTTACCTGACACAGAACTAAAAAAACCCTGTTTACAAAACCTTGAGTTTCAAACTTCCTTCACCCTTCAATTAAAAGAAAACTGCCTAGTGGTGTGTCTGCATTCTTCAAAGAAAGCCTTCTGTAAAAATTTTAAATTTTCAATATTTCAAAAATTAAAACACCAACTCTGAACTTATTTATGTACTACGGAAACAAAAGAGCACAATCTTAATTTTTTCCTATTGCAGAACTTTAATATATTTTCTTTGAAATTATCAAGTTCTTTTTCTCACTACAGGCAGTCCCCGGGTTACGTACAAGATAGGGATTGTAGGTTTGTTCTTAAGTTGAATCTGTATGTAAGTCGGAACTGGCGTCCAGATTCAGCAGCTGCTGAAACTGATCAGTTTCAACAGCAGCTGAATCTGGACGCCAGTTCCGACTTACATACAGATTCAACTTAAGAACCCCAGGCTCCGAGGCTTTGCTCTGCTTTGCTCCCCGTCCCCCTGGTCTGCAGACCAGGGGGACGGGGAGCAAAGCAGAGCAAAGCTGCGGAGCACGCGGTCAGCTGTCAGCTGGCCGCGTGCTCCGTGGCTTTGCTCTGCTTTGGCCCCCGTCCCCCT